TCTTTAAAAATGTCAATATTTTACAAGATACAAGTTTATTTCTTAATTATTGACATTTTTTAAGTTATAAGCTCATCCCGATGTTACACTCATCAAGTGCTTTCATTTGAGTACCTATATCAATTTTTCATATATTTTATATTTACAGAGAGTCACCATTTATGAAAAATATATCAAAAATGCATGTGGGTACTCAAATGAAAGCTCTTGATGAGTGTAACATCAGGATGAGCTTATATCTTTAAAAACGTCAATAGTTAAAAAAAAAAAAAAAACAGTGCAATTTAACGAAAGTCATTATTTAATAAAGCAAAATTTTATTTATTTATAGTTCACAAGTAACGGCAGTCACATAGTAACTGCAAGGTTGCTTGTTGTATATTAATTTACCTATTTGATTTAAAAATAAAAATTGTATTTGATCTGCGCCATATGTGTAATTTATTAACATCACTTGTCGGGGTCAGAACAAAAAAGTTGATGACAAAAAGGTACAATCAATAAAAGCTTTTGATTAAATATGCTCTTTAAACATTCACTTTCCAATTGTGTCAATATTTTATTTGGATAACTATGAATAACTAACAAAGTATGGGAATTAATAACGAGATGAGAATAATAAAATTAAAAAATTAATGGAATAAAGCATGATTAAAAATTTCAATAATTAGTATTTAATATTCCGTTAACGTTGCAAAATTCGTGAGCAAATTGTTAAAATAATATTCAATTGAATATACATATTTTCTGGGGTAGTATATACAGAGAGGATTTTTCGAGTTAAATTTGCATGTATAATGAGAGAATGGTAAAGCCACAATTCTCCGATTATCCGAGACCCCTAAAAGGGTTGCGATTCTCTAGGCAGACCGGACATTGATGTCTATATATTATTTAACTTTAGAATCACCACCAAGATTATTAATATGCTGATTAATTCATTGGATTTTTCATCCTTTGCTTTCATTTATTTATGAGTTATGAGTTTTGCTTATATGAGGGTAAATATTTGTTATTTTTATATTTAAATGTATCCATTGATAAATCGGTACCACGAATTTTTTTTTTTATTTAAGAAATTTAGTTAATAATCAATTAACTTATCAAACGAGAAAACTCGATAGCTTGCTCTAGTAGAAAACTAGAGAAAATTCAATTCAGCGGCGCCACCTCCTGACTTCGCATCCGCTCATCTTTATCTACGTAGCGAGAGTTTCATCACTGTAATTCTCCGAAATAAAAAATTTCAACATCAATAACAAGTTTTTTTTTTTTACGTACTGGTGTCAACATCAAATAACCTCAAATATGTGAGTAATCAAACTAGTCAATTAATTTTTAATTAGTCAGCGACTATTAATGGCGTAATTTTTATCTTTTTATCTATATTTGGTGTCTCATTTTAGAAAATAAAAATTTATTACCAATATGATATAAAAAAAAATTCTGATATGATTATTATCACTCGAAAAAAAATAAGAAGAAAAAAAATGCGCAGTAAATCTTTTAGTTAAATTGGTTTTAATCAATGAAAAAATTAGTTTGAAAAATTTATTTTTGAACTTTTAAGGAGGCAAAAAAAATTTTAAATAATAATAAAATTATGGATTAAATTTAAATTATTATGCTCTAAAAAAATTTTTAAAGGAAATGATTAACTTAATGATTTTAGTCATTAAAGGAAAATAAATATTTTTTTTAGTAATCAGATAGAAAGCGATTATTAAAATAAAAATATAAAAAAAATTGAGCAAATGAACATAATAAAAATGAGCGATAAAATCGCATTGTTAAGGCTACATAAAAGGCTGATTAATCTTTAGAAGTATAATAATAAGCATATTAAAATGTGTATAATAAAAGATTTAGTAGTAGGTATTATAATGAACAACAAAATGAAAAAAATAAATAGAACGCAGTCACATATGGTCATTACGTAGAGAGTTATATTAATTCAGCTGGTTCTTGGGGTATAATCTCAATAATCTCTGACTCTTTGACGTACAAACGTACTATACGTGTACATGCAGAACGTGATATAATATCTGATATTATATCACGAGAAACAAATAGTAATGAGAATAAGCTTTGCATTTACGTACTACGATAATAAGATGCATATCATAAAGTCATAATTTCAAAGATATTAATATTATATATATGCTATTAATATTTTTTTTTCTATTTTTATTTTTTATTTTTTACGTAAAATAATATTCATACAGATGTTGCAACAAAATACACTTAATAAGCGGCTTAACTTATCATGTGATATGAAATACTAAAGACTGTTATTCTCTCTGCATTTAAATGTATGCGAATTTAATTTACTATCATGAGCACGTGTACTTGTAGCTATTTCATTTCATTCACCTAATAAAATAATATTTTAATTTTAATTTCATTTATAAGACAAATTTATGTAAATTTTGCGAGTACGATTAAGATTTTTTAAAATTATTTATAATTGTTTTAATTCTTGATTCCATCACTTGAATTTAGTTACTTAAATTAATTAGATGAAACGTCAACTATTTAACTGTCAAAATAAACAAAAAATTGTGTCTCATAAAAAATTGAAGCATCCATTTGCATCATTTTGTCTAAACAGATAAAAATGTCATCAGGAATAATAAAACTGGGAAGAACTATCCGGCACTTGGGAATAACTTGTCGCTATGCATCTACCTCAAGGTTAATAAAATATTTATTAGTTTCTAAAAAAACTCTATGGACAATTAAATTAATTATTTTATTTCTAACTTAATTGCATAATTTTATCTGTAGTGCAGATCACGATACGTACGACTTAGTGGTGGTCGGGGGTGGAATAGTAGGATGCGCTACGGCACGTGAAATGCTCGAAAGACATCCTAATATGAAAATAGTTATCGTTGAAAAGGAAAATAAACTGGCAATGCATCAAACTGGCCACAACAGCGGAGTTATTCATGCCGGAATTTATTACACTCCCGGCAGTATCAAGGTAATGATAAAAAACTAAAAAATTAATTAATTAAAATAATGTGGGGTGAAAAAAATTTTTTTCCAGGCGAAATTATGCGTGGAAGGATTAAAACTGTCTTACGATTATTTTGGCAAGCATAATATTCCGTATAAAAAGGTTGGAAAGCTTATTGTAGCTCAGGATCAGGAGCAGGCTAAGAGGATTGACGATTTATACCAAAGAGGCTTGAAAAACAACGTGCCGGAGCTTAAATTAATTGAAAGAAATGATATATGCAAATTTGAACCCAAGTGCAAGGTAAAATTTACAAGTTTAATTTTAATAAGAGATTAATCTGTATTATTTTAGAGAATAAGCAAAATTTTGTGGCCAGTAGTCAATTTATGATGATAAGTTCTTAGGCTGCATTCGAACATGCACTATCTCTAGATACGTAATTAAGAAATGACCTAGTATCTTGTAAACTAATGACATTTTTAAAGATATAAACTTATTCCGATGTTACACTCATCAAGACCTTTCATTTAAGTACCCACATCAATTTTTCATATATTTATATATATTATATATATGTATATATGAAAAATATATCAAAAATGCATGTGGGTACTCAAATGAAAGCTCTTGATGAGTGTAACATCGGAATGAGCTTATATCTTAAAAAATGTCAATAATTAAGAACTGACGTTGGTTATCTTGTCAACTAATGATATTTTTGAAGATATAAGCTCACCCCGTCATTACACTCATCAAGATCTTTCGTTTGAGTACCCACATCAATTTTTCATATATTTCATATATATTATATACATAGGTGATTCTCTGTAAGGATGTTTTTGCTGTCCCAGGCATTTTTATATTAGAAAAATTGTTATTTTGTTACTAAAAAAAATTTATTACGAAAGTAAAAAAACATTTCTATTCGGAGCATTGAAAACTGAAATGAAATAAATTTTGGTTTTTTTTGTTATAAATTCCTAAACTACCGAAATAACAGTCCTCTGGGCTGTCCCGTTCCCAAAATTAAAACTTTAATATTAAATTTTAAGTTATTCGTCCATAATATATAATTTGGTCCATAATGTTTATAAATTTAATTAGTTAACTAACAATCTTCTTCAATAAAAAGTACCGAAAATTAATTTGTTTCATTAAATTCATTAAACCAAAGTTTGTCCCAGGCATTTGAGATCAGTCCCCTGCCAGAAGTTCAAAGCCAAAAAAAAAAATCCAGCGTGTTATTTTACCTTTTGTAAGGTTTATAAGGACCTAACTAGCCTTGAGTTAATAACCATAGGGCTGTTAGCGCTTTATCGGCATTTTATTTAGTGTCAAAGCACCGTTTGTGCTGGAAATATCTGTCTGGGCCACTTCAAAACTCAGTCCCCTGGCAACTATTTTTATATATAATTTATTTATAAAAATGGATCCATAAGTCTTAATATTATTCTAATAAATGTAAACATTCATTGAAAACTTGAAAAGTTGAATGCATTGAAATAGTTTCCTTCATTTTTCTCAATTTGATAAAAAAAAAAACAGTCCCCTG